AAAATCTCTCATTCTTTCCTGCCCTTTCATGTTCAGGATCCACATCTCAAAGTGAAGAAGGCAGCAAATGAGGAAATCAAATTTAGAGGAACAAGTTCAATGTCCGCAGTAACTCCTGCAAATGTTCTTGAGAACATTCAGGAGTTGGAGCAAAAGTCAGCTGAAGATCAGAAGAGACAATTTAAAGAATGACCTTACTCATCCCACTGTGCAACATACACAAAATGCCCATTAACAGTGCTCCAAGTGTCTCCATCATAATTAAGAAAACAATTGGCATTGTAGTCTCCTGTCACATCTTCCCCCCTGGCCTACATTGGAACTTTTACCTGTTTTGTCAAGATAACTCAAGATTAATAGGCCAAGAACTCACTTCTTGTCGGGATTGTTTTTCGAGGTGTTCAACTCAAAATTACTTTCGGTGTCACCTTCACAAGGAAACCTAGTCAGTGCTATGCTGCCAAACTATTACAATGGGCTTTTAATTCATGCCACCAATAAGTAGAAGTTGATAGCATTCAAACTCATGTTAAAGCCTTTCAAGGTGGCTGTCGTCCATGAAAACGCAGAACAAATCAGGTCCACCTGCCCTCACCCCCTCCCTTCCCTGCACACCTGCAATTTTGATGCAGAAAATCACTTTGAATCTTGCTTCATGTCTTTTAAAATATGAGGTGTTTGCTGTCTATGGAAATTCCCTTGAAAACACAAAACCTTTGGAAGAGATTCCACACTGCATTAGCAAAGCGATATTTTGTTTAGTTCACCATTTTTGTTAGGGACATTTTAGAATAGCAGTTGTCATAGGGCTCTATCCTATTAAACAGACTACGTTGGCTGGTACCTTTGTGATCTTACATACAACTATGTGGATTTGCTCTGAACTTCTATTTGGATTGATCAACCCTTAGAAAAGAGTATGTGCCTTATGATTCAAAGTTTGTTTTAAAAAGGCACATACATGCCTAGGAAAAATTCTGGAAGAATAGAGACTCAGAAATAAATAGTATTTATTTCTGGAGGTTAGGATTACATATTTAAAAGGTGATTCTCTTTACCTTCCATTATACTTTTCCAAATAATCATCAACAAATATGTATTAGACTAATGATAAAAAAATCAATTCAGTTTTTCTAAAAATAAAGATAATTCTGACTGGAGAGCATGTTTGAAAGCTTTTGAGAAGACAAATATGGCTTGGGTTGTTTTAAGAACAGCCACATCCGAAGCTGGATATACATGCTAGAGTCTCTGTGGTTATGAAATTTTTGACAAACGCCACGGAAGATGAATTTTTTTTTAAATCGCTTTCCAGTTTGCTTTCTTCTGACTCAGAATCTGGGGTTAATAACATGCATTGAAATTATGCCTTTTGAAAAACTATTACTTTAGATATGTTGACTTCCAAGCTTTCTGGGACTAAGATGCAATGTCTTGTTATAATCAAGTGAGTGGGGGGAGGATGGGAATCTACAATAAGACCATGTATTTATATTTACATTCATATTTCATTGTTTAGCTCAAACTGTTATACCCTAATAAGCAAATTAACCTTTAATGACTTATCTCTTGAGATGATAGTAATGGACCTTTTAAACTATTTAAATGGATGATCCACAAAATGTAATTATAATTACATGTAATGTGATTATTATTACATGCAATAAATTATAATTTTAATTTTTTGTGATGATCAAGTGAACAGTAAATACGCTATTTATTACCCCATTAGGACTATTATTATCTACACCATAGGTAGGCAAGACTTGTTTATCACTTGCTTGGGTACAGCTTATGAGCTAACCATGGTTTTCACATTTTTTGTTTTGTTTGCTTTTATATTTTTGAGTGACTGGAAAAATTCAAAACAAAAATGTTATTTGTGAAATGTGAAAATAATACAAAATTCAAATTTCAGTGTGCACAAAGTTTTACTAGAAGAGAACTGTGCTATTAAGTCTGCCTGTGGTGGCTTTTTGCATTACAAATGCTTCTGAAAAGAACTGTGACAAAGTCTAAAATACTTATTAGTTGATCTTTTTTTTTTTTTAAGATGATTTATTTATTTATTTGACAGAGAAAGAGAGAGATCATAAGTAGGCAGAGAGGCAGAGAGAGATGGGAAAGCAGGCTCCCTGCCGAGCAGAGAGCCCAATGCGGGGTTCAATTCCAGGACCCTGGGATCATGACCCGAGCCGAAGGCAGAGGCTCTAACCCACTGAGCCACCCAGACACCCCTATTAGTTGATCTTTGATACAAAAAGTGTTTCCAAGGTGGTTCTGAATATTGTATGTATTTCCCATCATCAGTCTCTAGATGGCAGAAAAGATCCTTAAACGGGGGGGGCGGAGGTAATTGGGTTATAGAAGATATTTACATTCCCAATTAAATCACCCCCTAAAAGTCAGCCCTTCCAACAGAACAAGACATTTTTTCTATGCATGTTCTATAAACCAAAAATTAAACATCTAAAAGAAACAAAGGATTCATTTAGTCTAGAACTACTATCTGTACTGAAATTTAGCATTTATTCGCTCCTGCCTTAAATAAATAAATATTATATAAATCTACACCATTAAAGAGGCTTCTCAGGTATCACCAACACATTAAATTGTAATAAATTTAAAGTGTACAATGTGATGATTTGGTATAAGTGTACATTGTGAAATGATTACTTCAACCAAGTTAATTAACACACCAATGACCTCACATAATTGCTTTTTTTTTTTTTTGATGAAAATGCTTAGGATCTATTCTCTTAGCAAATTTCAAGGATGCAATATACAATACAATACTATTAGCTATAGTGAGCCTGCTACACATTAGACCTTCATAATCTATTCACCTCATAAGTGAGTTTATATCCTTTTATCAGCCTGTCTTCCTTCTTCCCAACATGTCACACACACACACACACCCAACCACTTTCCTACTCTGTTTCTATGAGTTGACTCTTTAGTTTAGATTCCATATATAAGTGGACAAGTCTGTCTGACTTGTTTCATTAGCATAATGCCCAAGTTTCATCATGTTGCCATGAAAGGCAAGATTTCCTTCCTTTTTAAGGCTGAATAATATTTCATTATGTTTATATACAAATATATGTATGTATGTACATATATACTATAGCTTTTTTATCATTCATCTGTCAGTGGGCACTTAGCTTATTTCCATGTTGTGCTTCTTCGGTTGTAACTTGCCTATAAGATTCTTCTCTTTATAGACTGAATTATACTTGCTAAGCCTGTAGGTTATGCCAACTGGGTTTAGAATTAGTTGGCTTGTAAGTGTGTAGAGAACTAACTTGTTTGGTTTTAGAACTTGATTTTTTTTTCCCCCTAGCATTGTGTAGTCACAGCTACAGACCAGACAGATTTTATGCATGAATCAAGAAAAGCAAGGTGAGGGGGTCCCCACACACATTGCTGGTTCATATTTACTATTCCATGAAAACCAAATCTGTATCATCAGGATGATATTCACTCATGTTCTTTTAAACTGCAGGTTTCTCATTTCTCAACAAGAGGACAAAAAGCTCCTACACCACTTCCGAGACACATCAAAGACAAGGCTGCTGGCACTCCTTTCATCCCCCTCACATTCTCTCCCATCATTTCTGTCCCACTTCATTTTTTCTGTAACTTCCGGTTATAAACTTTTCCACGGAAACAGAAAGTTAAAACAGGACAATGGATAACCCGATGCCAATCATACATTTTCCTATACAACAATCATGCACCTGAGAATTAACAACGAGTCTATACAACCAGCTAATAACCAATGAACATTGAAATTTCCCCCATTTAACCTCAGAATATCTTTCAGAGACCTGTGATTGAACAGGAATGTAATCTAAAGTCAGGCTTCTCATCAGTTTGCTGGGTTTCCCCAGTTCTCCTTTGATCTAGAACAGTCTCTCCCCTCGCTGCCTCTACAAACACTTCTTTTCATGATCTTGAGTGTTTAGGAGATTGGGTCATTTGCCTTGCAGAATTCACATTCTGGATTTCTCTGATTGTCATTATTTTTCTATCCTTTATATGTTACCGTAAATTGGGGCTTAGGTCTAAAAGTTTAACACTATGATGCTGTATACTTCATATTGAGCTATCCCACTTTGGGGAGTAAGAGTCTGATCAGCTTGTTGTGGTATTGATCACCATTACAAAGGTTTGATTTTTCCCTTTGCCACTGGCAAATAATCAGTGAGGTTGTATCTTGTCGTTCTGCAAACATCTTTTAGCCCAACAACCTTTTCAAGTAATGGTGTCAGTTTGCCATAAGAATCAATATTTCATTAAGAACTGAGAAATAGTAATTTTCTAATTTATTATTCCTTCCCTTTTCATTAGCTGGCATTATCCTATAAAGGTGGGTTTTGTCTCATCAACTGAGAATCACCTAGGGTTCCTTCTAAAAAGTCAAAGTCAATGCTGGATCCTTTACCTTTAATTCCCATTTTCCAAAGTAAGGATCCTTTACCTTTAATTCCCATCTTCCAAAGTAAGGATTTAATTCCCATTTTCCAAAGTAAGTAACAGTCATCTTCAACTGAAGCAAATTAGCTCTCTCTCTCGAGAGAGAAATGCATGAGAGAAAAATGCATGAATTCATACATTTTTTTATTTTCATATTTTTACAATCAACTCAACATGATATTTGATGCTCTGTTTGGCCTGTGAGAGCATCCTCCAGCTGGATTCTTTAGCATGTTTTTTTATTCTTTGATGTAAAATGTCCTTCTGGGATCTCTTTCCACAGCTGAGACCAAACAGCAGCCTCTCCTCTCTCCATGTCCTAGCAGCACCTCCACTGAAGAAATCTTCTACTTCCTTCTAGACTTTGTCATTCAATAACTTGAAAACCCTGGATTGCTTCCTCCCACCCCTGGCCAAACCTTTGCTGAGCACATCAAATGGCACTGAGAACCCCTGCAAATTCAAACAAGATCATGAAGAAAGGCTAGTTCCTCTTGAAATGTCTTCACCGTTTCTCTTACCTTGCATAGTAGTCATTGGGTGGAACCGCTTCTTGAAAGAACTGGAACTGGTATAAATAAAGTCCAATCAAGTGTCCCGCAGTGAAAATAGCCAGCAGAACACAGAGACAGCTGAACAGCAATGGATCGAAAGTTCGGCACCAGGACCACCAGGTGCACAGACCCAAAAATACAAAGAAGTATACAGATGAGGTCAAAGATGGCAACATCATACCTGAGAAAGAAGAGATATCATCAAGACTCATTGCACAGAACCAGAAAAGCATTTACCACTCAGGAAAGGTAACTCTTGGGAGATTTTGTACATTTCCTTTGTGTGTTTCCAGGGATGGATCAAGTTATCGAAGTATGAACCACATTTTATTTATAAAATCAGAACTTATACCATTTTTGTTGTGAAACAAATTCAGACATAAAATGATATTTGTAAATATAAGTAAAAACATAAGATCATGAAGTTCTTCCCATGATGTTTGAGCAGAGTAAATATCTATTTTTTCATATAAATAGAATTTAGCATATTTGCTTGCTTGCTTCCATCTTTCTAGTTTTCCCCCTAATTTTTCAGGAATACTTGTGTGTCTATTCCAACTTTCCCTGATATCATTTTTTATAATAACTCACTTTTTTTTTGGTTAAGTAGGATTCATAACAATATTACATCTATGGCAAAGTCTCACTAAAACTTTGCCCTACCCAACCATATTGGGACCGCACTATTAGCAAAAGGGGGCACGTAAAGTGAGGTAATTCTTTGGCAGACGTTTAAAAACTTTTGCTGGGCGGGGGATGGGGCATCTTGAAATGACTCTGTTAAAATATTGCGATATACTTCTTGAGGAATTCTATTCTCTTTCCCACTTTTTAATTTTCCTCACATTATTTCATCTTATGAAACTTCCACGAAGAGGTATGGACTGAACTTCACAGAGGCTCTAGAGCAGCTGCCAACAGAGCTATGGAAGGAGGGAGAAGATGGAGATAACATTATTATGGAACAAGCGGTCAGCAGCCAAGATTTCAAGGAAGTGAGTGTCCATGCTGCAAGATTACAATCTGAGGAAGAAAAATAGTATATCCTGGAGAGTTAAATTAAGATTAATAACAGCCCAATGTAAACAGACATGCTTTCAGAAGGCACACATGTGGCTCTGGATGGCGGGGGAGGGGGCAGGCGACGACACACCAACATGGTTCATCAGAGCCCATTGCCCTTCATGGGCTGTGGGGAGAGGAAGAGTAGTGGTTTTTTGGATCTACACCTAAAACATAAATCACTTAAGATATAGGAAAAGATGGCTTTATGGAGGTTGACAGAAACCAACTGAAAACACAAATGCTAGAAATGAACCAGATAAATGACTTCTGTGTGTGTGTGTGTGTGTGTGTGTACACATGGCCAGTTTTCCAGCAGGTACGGTTATGAGTTTGGTGTCACAAACCAGAATTGTTTCTTTCTGCATTTTCTCCTCAGCCATGTCCTTCATTATTCACCAAAGCACTACCTGTGCTTCACCCAGTGCCAGAAACGCTCACCTGACGAACCGAGTAAAATCGTCACCACGACCTTTCCCGCGGTGGTGATCATGTTGCCAATAAACTCTTTAAGCTTGGAGGCTACTGAGGCGAGTCTGCGGAACATTTTTAACTTTGTGCTCTCTTCCACGTCACCTTCAACACCGTCCCCTTCATCCAAATCCTCTTCGTAGATCAGCGCCTCTTCCGCATCTAATTTTTCCCCTCCAGCCTAAATAAAGGAGAAACAGAAAATATTGCAGTCCAGACCTCTGCCTCCCCGCCCAGCAGATTACATGGTTTGTAATTTGTGGGTCAGTCAGTGAGGTGAACTTCACAAACCGGCAGAAAAATGCAGACAACCACTTACGTCCCCCTCCAGGTCTCTGACAGTTCCTTGGGGAAGCCCAAGTCCCTTGGATCTTTCCCGAAGAAGTAAACAAGAAACATCACCCATCATAGAACCCTGAACAGTGTGTTGTCTGAGCCAAAGGAACTCATTTGTTTTTTTTTTTTTTTTTACAGGCAGAAGAAACAGAAACATCTCTCAAGATTTTAACTTTCATCAGTCTGAGTTTGGTTCCTCACATTTATAGTTTGCCACTAAGCTGATAGGTAGTGTGAGGAGAATATCCATGGCTTTAACCAAAATGGTGAGTCCACCTCTTGCTTATGAAACCCCTTTTCTTTCTGAAGTCAATTCTGCCCACTATCCTAGTGTTTCCTGGCAACGGGAGCGTGAGTGGTCCCGGGTTTGGTCCTGGGTTTACTTGACTAGATACAGTCACTTCTTATTTTATCCTTTCAGAGAATGATATACTCGTTCGATCCTAAATGATTCAGCCCCTCAGTATGATCATCAGAGATTTAGGGAAGAACTCATGGGCAGAATATACACATATTTCTATGCATTATTTTAAACTGGGTATACAAGGTGTTTTTGACTGTTTTGTTTTTAGAGAATACATAGAAATTTTTTTTAGCTAAGAACAGTCTTTCCCTAGAAGGCTTGAATTTTTTAACTGTTAGAAATATAAGCCATCATTTTAAGACAAAAGGTTGTTTCAGATGTATGAGGTTTTGTTTGCATTTGCCGTAGGCTGGCAGTCTTCTCTTAATCCCTGTTGAAAAGACTGTACTGGCTGCAGAAACAGAAGTTTTTTTATGTCCAGTTCAGACATCTCTTTAAGGCTTAAAGAGTACAGCCCAGCCTCTCCGTTTTTCCCATTTTAAAGGTTCTTTTTTTTTTTTCCTAGCCCAGCCTCTCCATTTTCCTATTTTAAAGGTTTTTTTCTTGATACATTTAGTTCAGATATTTAAAGATTATTTATTTATTTATTTGACAGAGAAAGAGATGCAGCAAGAGACGGAACACAAGCAGGGGGAGTGGGAGAGGGGGAAGCGGGCTTCCAGCTGAGCAGGGATCCCAATGCGGGGCTCAATCCCAGGACCCTGGGATCATAGCCTGAGCCAAAGGCAGATGCTTAACTGACTGAGCCACCCAAGAGCCCCTAGTTCAGGTATTTAAAGAATATTCACCAGTGGCAACTGAACCTCTTACTATGCCCATGTACACTAAAGGAAGCTACCATGCGGAGGCTGGTATGAAGTTCAAGGTAGTCCTGAGCGGCCTTGAGAACTCAGAGCTCTTCTCTTTGCCTAGAAGGGTACAGGCCACTCATAACATAAGCTGTCTGTTGCTGAAGTGAAGGGTACAGAAAGCACATTTACCCTGGACACCAAATACACAGATTTAATCTCGGGCCCATTCCAGTCTATATACCCAAAACGGGTTCTACTGTATTACATCATGACACATTTTTTCCTGAAGAAAAAGGAATGTCTCAAGCATATTCATGAAGATTTCTCTATATGGTCAGGGCCTAGCATATGCTAATATCTCTTAAGAGATGCAGTGATAAACATGTAGGCAAGTAGAAAACTAACAAGCTATCTCACAGTAACAAATGCTAGTCAGAGAATTAAAATAGGGTGAGGTGACTGTGAGTGGCAGGGGGGCTATTTTAGATTCCGAGGTTAGGGAGAACCTCTCTGAGGAGGTGACATTTAAGCCAAGATCTGAATGTCACAAAGTAACCAGCCACGTGAAAATCTTCATTAAGAACATTCCAGATGGAGGGAAGAGAAAGGTCAAAGAGGAATGGTCAAAGAAAGGCTCCCTATGTTCAGAAAGAAGGCACATGTTCCCGGACATACTTCCTCTTCCACCAATTCACCCTCCCCATTGTCAGCTGATGAGCCCACTTCCTACTTCACTGAGAGAAGCGGGGGCTAACCCTTCTCTGGGTTTATGTGTTGTCCTGTTGTGCAGGGGAAATCAGCTGGCACATCAGCCTGTCAACCTAAAGCTCACCTGCACAGCAGGTACTTGGCTCCCTCCCCCTGTCCTGTGACTATGGAGAAGCTGCACCCCCTGAGACACCAGAGAAAAGGATGCTCCCAGCCATCCTCCCCTCACCCCTGCATTACCTCATGCTCCCTTTCTCCCATATCTCCCCATCAACAAACAAAACAGGCCTCACCATCTCCAACCCACACCTCTTCCAATCCACATTTGCCTCTCAAAGTGACTCTCCAAGAGTTGGCTAAAAACATGGCGTCACTTCCCCTAGGCCTCATTTCTACTGAACTCACTCTAACAGGAGTTTCATCACCAATCACTCCACATAGTAAAGGCTATGACGTGGCCTATTTCACATGGTGATGCCAAGGAAGACCGCAGCTAGGAGGCTATTGCTGTGGTCGAGGGGAGACAGGAGCTCAAGGAGCTGAGAAGAGGATCACGTCTTTGCCTTTTGTCTTAAATTCAAGTCAGCAGAACTCATTGGTAAATTTGATGTGGAGGGTGGAGGGACAGAGGAGAATCAAAGACAGTTCCTGTATTTTTGTCGTTATTGAGGAGATGGGGATAAGCAAGGGCGAAGAGGGTTGGGGAATTCAGTTCTGAGATGCCCTTCGGGCTTTCTTGTTGGAGATGTTAAAAGGGCAACCAGCACAGGAATCTGGAGGGCCGGAGGGAGGTGGAGACTGGAGAGGTCTATCTAAAGTTCAGTGGTAAAGATAAGGTCTCTAAAGTCAATGGTCTGATGAGGTTATCTGGAGAGAATACAGAGCTGCCCACCTCTCAGGTGCAGCCATACCTGGAACCGGTCAGTCTCTCTAGCCCTATCTTCTTTGCCTAGAAGCACTCCCTGCAGGCAACCACATGGGGAACCCAGAGTCCACAGGCTCTCTTGGCCTTGGAACATGCTTTAAATGTGTCCTTGGCCATAAGATCCCCTCCCAAGCTCTTAAAGACTCTAGGTCCCATACCAGCTCTTCTTTTCCACTTGCTCCGGATCCCCCAGGAGTTTCTGTGGGGATCCATCCAGTGACGCTATGGCTATGGTGTCCACACTGCCATCCACATACAAACCATCCATTCATGGGGCATGTCTTGCTTAATTTCCCCCTCATGATGCAGTCACACATATAAATCCTCCCTGGGGAAGAAAGTTAGGCCAAAACCTTCAGCCACCATCCTTGAAAAGGGAGACATGGAGAGACAACAAAGCTAGAGCTGCCTGGGTCCCAGTCAGAAATGCACTCCTAACTTTCATAACAAATGGCTTCTTATTCAGCTGTAGAATTGCTACGGATGTAGATTAAATCAAATAGAGTTCTCTGGTCGAGGTTAGACAAATGCATTTCCTTGACCTCTCCCGGGCGGGACCGGGGCCCCCGTGACTTTTATAAACATACCACTGGACTTGAGGGTTTTCAGCATTTTTGTACCATAATCCTCAGTTGGAAACGCTTAAGAAACCTGCCAAGCTAGGAGGGAGCCGGAAGTGAGCCAGGTTGGCCTCTGTGAGCCCCCACTGTCCAGGCTGGGGCCAGAACTGCCATTAGTCACGTCAGGCCTGCTTTTTAACAGGCAGGCTTTCTCCCCCTAAATGATTCGTCTGGTGAAATATAAACACTGATCCTCTGGAACAGTGTCCACTCGCTCAAATGTATTTACTAACAAGCAGCCTAGCTTGTGGGAGCCATAATCTCTCCTGGCTTTGGAACGCAACCGGACTCCGGCCCTGAAGTGAAGAAGGAGCAGCTATAAATGAAGATTTAATTCCCCCTGGTTCCAGATCGAGCTTAGAAATTAAAAAGAGAACACTCCACAGTTTAGACAGGCAAAAATAAATAAATAAATAAAATAATAATAATAATAAATTCCATATTATTATTGCCCATGTCAACATCTAAAACTTATTTGAGGACGTGTAAATCCTCCAACTTACCTTTGCTAAACGTTCCCCACTTTAAATGTGCCAACATGTATTCCCATAACACCTCTGAGATCAACTGCATGCGAGGCCAAGCTTGTCTCTGAACTTGGGTCAGGGTCTGAGCGCCAAGTAGCCACTGCATCTCCTCCCGCAGTTGCCTCCCCACACTCGGCACACAGCAGTCGTTCCCACACAATTCAGACAGGGAAGACACAGCAGTTAGTTTTGGTGAAAGGCAAATATCCATTTTTCTTTAACTCCGAACAATCTTTGAATGGGTTGGGGTATGTCCTGATGATCACCCGGGAATCTTGAAGAGGGCAGGAACCTAGCCTCACCTCAAACTTAATAAATGAGAAATTCTTGAAGCGAATCTCAGGCATCTGTATGACCAAACAGTTGCCCTACATGATTCTGAAGCAGCCAATCTAGAATCCACACACAGGCCACCATCTGTAATGCCTGATAACTGATGGCACGCTTGACAGACCAGGCAAAATTGCAGACGTTTTGTTGGAATCGTATGCTAGGCAGAATCCCTTCCCTGGAAAATGCACTGAAGTGATTTATCTGTGGAACCTCCTTCCGGTTTCAGTCAAACTTTACGTGTTAGCCCAGAACTCCTCATCAGATGAATCCACTTTCTTCTTTGTGGCTAAAACCACGCTATTCAAAACATTTCGAAGGAGTGTATGGAAGAAACAAACAAATGATCTGGAGGCAAAGGGAACGTTTTTCTAAAGGGTCATGAGTTGTTTCTTCATTGTTTATTATGAAAAGTTAACAATGTATCCTTGCAGAATGGGTTCATCTCCACAGAAGAGCCCAAGGGAGGAAAAGGCAAGTGTGGCGCCTCATGGCTCAAGGCAAACACTATAGGCACCATGTTGCCTGTGGAAGGGAGTAGAGAGAGCATCTCGTCTATGTGATGTCACCGTATGTTATG